TGCTGTGGTGCAGTCAGAGGGCAACACAGACATACATATGTACACACTCTCACACTCATACTCACAAATCTACATTCACACTTTGTTGAGACAGGGACACCATGCAACCTTGGTTTTAAACCACAGAACCCTAGATATATCCATTTGCGTCACTAGGTTCGTTCATATTTTTACACAAAAACAGAACTGCATGAGTTTGCAAATGTGTCCTTGTTGCTGTGGCTTTGTTTATAATTTGATAACACACATTTCTAACATGTTTCAAAGGCTGTATCCTAACACATGCAACAGCTGATGTTAATCTTTATCAGAGAGTTGATATCACTGAATCACAGTTTTTAATTTTTTTGTGTGTGAGAGAATTGTACCCGACAACTGTGATTACTGGACTCGACTAAATGGTTTACCTACTCAGATTACAGACCTCAGACAACGGCTTGCTGAGTCCCAGAAAACTGTGCTTGAGCTGGAGGCAGAGCGAGAGCAGAGGCAGCGTGACTACGACAAGAAGCTGCTGCTGGCTAAGTCCAAGATTGAAAATGTACAGGTGAGAATGCAAAGACAGAAAAAACCCTGGTGAAATGAAACGAAACCAGGACAGAGAAGAGAAAAATGTTTCAGGATGCTCTAAGAAAGGTGTTTCCAATGTTTTGGGTTGTGTATGTTTCAGGGGGAGAAGGAGTGCCTCAACTCTGAGACCACTGAGCTGAAGCAGAAGATTCGCTACCTGCAGGATCAGCTGCTGCCCCTCAGCAAACAGAGGGAGTACCAGGAGAAGGAGATCCAACGCCTCAACAGGGTGAGTGTGGAAGACTTGCAGAAAGAGAGAGAGAGAGAGAGAGAGAGAGAGAAATGTAGAAGAGTGCGTATGTCCGTGTAATACTATGTCTTACTTCAGGCTTTAGAAGAAGCCTTAAACCTCCACTCCCCTTCAACCTCCCAACAACCACCTGGCCAGGGTAACTTTGCGGATGCAGCCAATAACCTAAAGAAACAGGAACTGCTCACTCAAATTGCTGTACTGAAGGAGCAGGTCAGGCATGCTACAAAACATGCACACACTTACACACACAGTTGTATTGCAATAGTACATGCATTTCCTCAACTGCTTTTAATTGTTGTTTTGTACTTCAGGTGAAGATCTTTGAAGAATAAAGAGATACACGTGGT